CCCAAAACGTTAAATCCAATAAATTCTTCAAGGAGCAGCTTCTAGTATGCGGACTTTATCTTTTATTACATTCTTACCTTTTGGTCCAGCACTCAGGCATTAAGTTTTTTGGGATGTGCGTGCTATCTTTACTTGTCTTTCAACAGAGGACACAGAGTTAACAGCACCTCTGTCTTCCCTTTAGGCCTTTTATTTACCTGTCCCTGTCACACCACCACTAACAGAAGAAAATAAAATGTTTTTCTCAACCTCACGTCACCTAAAATAACTTCAGTCTCAGCGTCGGACAAGTTTTTCTTTTTCTCTCTTTATTTCTTTTTTTGCTCTATGTTCACAGGTCGACAGGTACACCTATCCATAGTAATTATCACCTCCTTATATGTTGGTCACTGGCTATTCATGGGTGGGATGTATGCTCATTGCTGACAAGCGGGTGCATGCTGTCAATTTATGACTGATTGGCATTCATGAACATACACATGTGCCTACGATCAAAGTTTTCCGTGGTGTTCATGAATCCGGTGAAAGTTTTTAGTACCGAGGTATTTTATGTGCAAAATTATTCACAGATTTACTAACACTTAATGAATGAGACCCAATGTTTTTAGTAAACACTTTAAGAGATTACAAAGACTGGAGATATTGCAGGGCCACTATTTGCAAGACTACAACTAGATTTTGTTAAGATTGTTTCCCATTCTGCACCTGGTGAAAAATATACCAAGGTCCCTTTAAGAAATATGACGTATTGACAATTCCTTATGTGCACCCAAAAACACATAACTTTAAAAACAGTTAAAAAAAATGGATCCAGTTAAGCTAACTAAAATCCTGAGAGCAGAGGTAGGAGAGGTGAAGTATGCAAGAGCGGAGGGAGATAGGAACCTACTGGTGGGGTGTGGGGATCAAGTGCAGCTAGAGAAAGCAAAGAAAATGAAAGCAGTGGGAAAAGCCAAAGTGGCCAGAGTAGTAGGAGTGGGAAAACAGAATAGTGGGTGCAAGGGGGTAATCACTGGAGTACCACTTAGTGTGAGCATGAAACAACTAGACCACCTGAAGATGAGGAACAGTGCAGTAGAAAGTGCTAAAAGAATCAAACAAGGGGACTGGAGAAAGAAGAGTCTGAGACTGTGCTAGTGGAGTTTAAAGGGAGGGTGCCCCCTACTGAGCTGTACTTTGGATTTATTAGGTACAGGGTGAGAGAATATGTGCCAAAACCCATGAGATGCTTTAACTGCCAAGAGTTTGGACATGTAGCTAAGGTGTGTAAGAAGAGGGTGAGGTGTGTGAGATGTGGAGGGGGAGACCAGTATGGAGAGTGTGAAGAGGGAGTGAGGGTGAAGTGCTGCAATTGTGGTGGAAACCATAGTGCAGCTTACTGGGGGTGTGAAGTTATGAGAAGGGAGGCAGAGGTGTAGCAGATAAAAAGGAAGGAAAGAGTCTCATATGCTACTGCAGTTAAGATAACAGAACAGGAGAAGCAGGGGAAGGAGGCAGGATACAACAAAGAGCAACTGGCAGTGAAAGAAAAGCTAGAGAATGAAAAAGAGTGGACAGAGCAGAAGAGATTGGTGATATTCATAATGGGAGTGGTAAATGCTACAGCGGATATCCTGTCAAAGACCAAAAGGATTCAGGTGTAAGTGAAAGCTGCAGAGCACCTCCTAGGTATGAAAGGATTGAAATGGGAGGAAGTAAAGGATGAACTTGAACCCAGTGGACAGGCAAGTAGTAGTAGTAGTAACCAGCCAAGTAGCAGTCAAGAGTCAAGATGAGTGGGTGGGTAATACTAATAATAATGATATTCCTTCAGTGGAGTGTGAGGAGCCTGATTGCAAACAGACAGGACTTTAAGCAGTTTATAGACAGTAGAGAAGAGAAACCAGACATCATGTGTATTCAGGAATTTCAGCTGAAGCCTAACCTTGATTTTGTTATTTATGGATATGTGTCAGTAAGAAGAAATAGGAAGGTGTGGGTGGAGGTTGTGTAACTTTTGTAAAACAGGGAATCCCCTATAGAGTGGTGGGTGTAGGACAGGAGCAGGAATATGTGACAATAGAAGTGTGGGGTGAGAATAAGAAGTTTGCAGCCATAAACTATTCTAATCTGTGTAAAAGGTTGGAGTTAAATAAGCTTGAGAAAGTAGAAGGGCAGGATAGGAATAATGTGATACGGTGTGGGGATTTTAATGCAAGAATGTGAAGAATAGGAATAAAGCGTTCAGATTAGTTAAAAGAATACATAGTTTACTGGCAGTGTTGCAGTATAGGCAAGCCCAGGCAGTGGTGAGGAGAACAATAAGGCAGACGAAAAGGACATACTGGAGGAAATACTGTGATTCTATTTGCAACACCCCTCAGGTAGGAGAGGTTTGGGGAATGATAAGGAAGATGGGTGGAGACAAGAGGGAATGGAGCTATCCAGTGTTGAGTGATGGTGAGGGGGTTGCAGTAACCAATAAGGAAAAAGTTGAGTTAATGGTCAAAACTTTTGTAAGTGTGCATAGTTCAAACAATCTGTCTGAAGAGGGGAGAAGAGGCAGAGAGGACACTAAGGCAGAAAACCTGGAGGCACTGCAGAGGAAGGAAAGCGTTGAAGATGAGCAAAATGTCCCATTCAGCATGGGGGAGCTAAACAGGGCCTTGGCCAAAACAGGAAAGACTGCACCAGGGAAAGATGGAATTTGTTACATCATGTTAAAACATCTAAGTGAGGAGGGCTTATGGAAACTACTGTGTATGTTTAATGAGGTATGGGAGGAGGCAAAGATTCCAGAGAGCTGGAAGGAAGCAATAATTATCCGGATAAGGAAGCCAGGGAAGGATGATAGCAAACCAGCAAACTATAGGCCTATTGCGCTGACATCAAATGTCTGCAAACTGATGGAGAGGATGGTCAATGAGAGACTTACGTATTACCTAGATTATAGAGGTATGGTGGCTCCTTATCAGAGTGGGTTTAGGAGGGGAAGGGGTACTATGGACCCAGTTCTTTGCCTGGAGGATGATGTCAGGAAAGCCCAGGTAAATAAAGAGACAGTGGCAGCAGTGTTCTTCGATGTAGAGAAGGCATATGACATGATGTGGAGAGAGGGCCTTATGATTAAGCTGCACAAGCTGGGAGTAGGAGGGAGAATGTTTAACTGGCTCATGGACTTTTTGAGGGGAAGATCCATACAGGTTAAAGTGGGATCTGAGATGTCTAGCCAGCATAGGGTAGAGAATGGGACACCCCAGGGGAGTGTGGTCAGCCCTACTCTGTTTTCTGCAATAATAAACGATATTTTTGTGACTGTAGCAGGGGACATGGGAAGATCTTTGTTTGCAGATGATGGAGCTCTATGGAAAAGAGGGCAGAATGAATGGGGGTTGAAGTGGGGGTTTACATTCTCAGTTGAAAAGACAAAGTATATATTATTCACAAAGAAAAGAACCAGGGCAGAGTATGTGGTGAAGATGTATGGAAGTAACCTTGAGAGGGTGGAGAGTTTCCGTTTTCTAGGAGTGCACTTTGACGCAAGACTGACGTGGAGAGAGCATGTGAGGCAGGTGGAGGGGAAATGCAGGAAAGTGATAAATATCATGAGATGCCTAGCAGGGGTGGAGTGGGGAGTGGACGTTGTGTCACTGAGATATATATATGTGTAGCTCTAATAAGATCAAGAATAGACTATGGGAGCATGGTGTATGGATCAGCAGCAAAATCTGTGCTGGAGGGGCTGGACAGGATTCAAGCGTGGGCTCTGAGGGTGTGTTTAGGGGCAGTCAGAACATCTCCAGTAAGTGCTCTTCAAGTTGAAGCAGGGGAAATGCTATTTGAGCTACGCCGGAAACAGCTGGCAGTAAACTAATGGATAAACTTCAGGGGGCATGAAGAGAGTCATCCAACAAAAAAGATACTAGAGGCATGCTGGGAGAGAGAAAGGGCACAAAAACTAAGTTTTGGCTGGACAGGATATGCAACAGCAAGAGAGTTGGGCGTGTATGAAGATGAGTTTAGTCCAACTGTAGTATGGCCTGTGACACCTGTGTGGATGGTAGAGTGTATGGTGGTTGACCTGAAAATGCTTGAGCTCAAGAAGAGCAGGGAAAGAGTAGATTTGGTGAGTGAATTCCATGAGTATGGGGAGAGCAAGTACGGGGACTATGTGCAGGTCTATACAGATGGGTCGAAGGATCCAGACTCAGGACACACAGGGGCAGCAGTTGCAATACCGATTCACAGAGGGGAGATGTGCAGAAGAACAACTAACAATCTGAGTGTATTCTCTGTTGAAATGTACGCCATATTGATGGCTTTGGAGTGGGTAAGAGAGAGGACAGTAGACAAGGCTCTAATCTGCAGTGACTCAACATCAGTGCTTCATAGTCTTAGGGCAGGAACATCTAAGTGCAGACAAGATTTGTTAAATTAAGTATTAGCAACACATACAGCAGTGATGAAGCAAGGTAAATAGTGGTCATGTGGGTCCCTGCTCACATTGGCATCCTGGGAAATGAAAGGTCAGATACAATAGCCAAACAAGCCATAAGGAAACACAGATGTACAGATTAGACTGGAGGCTTTGATGTAATTGTATACTTACTCAAGGAACTTTTCTTACCTACCTGCAGCTGTCCTACTGCAGCAGCAGTGGGACCAGGAGATCAAAGGGAGACAATTATACATCCATCAGAATAAAGCTGGCAGTACAAGGAGAGGAGGAGGGGGAGGAGGAAAGAGGAGACGGTGAGTGATCAGCATGCTAAGAATAGGACATACACAGCTTAACAGCACATTATACATGATAGGGAAACATCTGACAGGACAATGTGACAGATGCCAAGAACCGGAGACAGTGGAGCATGTGATGGTCAGATGCAAAAAGTACACCGGAGAGAGAGCGGACATGAAGGGAATGAAAACAACAGGACTGACAACAGAGACACCGAAGAACATACTGGAGTGTGGAGTGAATGGAGGGGGAAGGGGATTCTTTATCAGCTACCTAACAACAACTGTACTGGTGAAAAGGATGGAATGAAAGATGTAGGAGCAAGGTAGACCCAGAAGATGGCGGTAATGCAACGTAACGGATGCCAACCGCCGTAAAACTCCGAAGAAGAAGAAGAACCATACACGCGCCAGTAAGAGAAAGAACTGTAAGGTAATGAGTCTTTTAATTATTAGAATTAGACAATTTTATTGTCATTGTACTAGCACTAGCAGTACTAGCTAGTAGCTAGCACTAGCATTGAGTACCAAGCCGCTGCGTTTACACGCGCCGCCATCTTTATTATCTTTTAACATGTGTGTTATGTTCTCAAAGATGCAATTCTACGTAATGTATCAAATCATAAGGGGGACGTCTATGTGGGGAATCTGGGCATGGTGGGTTTAGCTACATTTGTTGTGTAAAAACGAGGGCATGATTGGTATTAACTTAACGTTAGCTGCTCAAGGTCTGTTGTGCTCACTTTCATCAATGTATGTGTGTAAAGAGTGTTAATGTTGGTCAGAGACTATTACTGCCCTCGCTTGATGTGTTGGTTAATTTAGATGTGTAGTTTGCAGCTGGGTTAATATGTGTTCCTCTGCTTTTTGGTGTGTTGTGGTGTAAAACATCTGTGCACACACTTGGTTCGCCTGGTCTCCTTGTGTATTAATGCCTGTATAACCTCACCCCTGTACTGCTCAGTCAAGTTATATACATCTTTTTTTCCGGAGATATTTTAAAAATAGTAACGAGAGTCGTCTCATGTGGTATACGACATGAGCAACCCCGAGGGTTAACCGGGTCAGATAAATAACGTATCCACATCCTCGGGTGTCTGCCAAAAAATGCATTTTATTATGTTTTAGTAATGCAGAGCACTAATACACATACACATGTGGATACATAAATAGCTGTAGTGCCTCCTCCACCATGAGTCCTTTAGATCGGTAAAATATGGTTGATGTTCAGTATGTTTTCCAGCTATCAATGTTGATTGACTTCTCCTTTTTCAGATGCACCCCTCTATTTTGAGTGACGAAGCCAGTCTGGGGCACATAACCCTTTCACCATCCGAGTTTAGGTGTCCTCTCTGTCCCAAATTTAAAACCAAAAATGAGAACGCGATCCAGAGGCACATGAAAAACCATATGGAAAATGCAGTTCATTTCCATGGTATGTTGATGAGAAGTGTCTATTTGAGATCATATACTTCTACATGTAACAGTAATGTTTAATGATATGTGTTTTTGCATGTATAAGGTTGTCATATTTTAACCAGTGTTAAAATTAAGTTGCACTGCTTTGAGGTCTGTGGATAAGCTTGGCAAAGAAAGCAAGTTACTTTCAATAGATCCCCACTTGTAGCATTTTGTGGAGTTGTTGCACCTGTTGAAATGGTCATAACGGTTTAAATTAAGGAAAAATACAATCATATAAGTAATTGTTTATAAGATGTAAAGTAAATTTTTGTTTCTCAGTTATAATATGATGGTTTTTAATACATATTTCTCTCTCTTTACAGAAAATATTATCTGCAGATGCAACATGCTTTGCTGTGATATAGGTCATTTCCACTGTCCTTTCTGTGACACAACTGTAATTCGTAAAGACTTCGTATCACTACATGTGACTGAGTGTTTTAAAAAATGTGTTGTGGTGGTGCCACCTCTTCATCAGTCCTCACCATCATCATCTGAGGACTTTATTGCGCAATCACTTGATCATTCATATGCACTTCCCCCTTCAGTGTCCGCATCAGCTACAACCACAGAGCCTCCAGAAGAAGTAGTCACTCACGAACTTCCATCTTCCCACCTCTCCCACCCTCTGTCTCAGACAGCATCACCCAAGACCCCAACAGTTGTCACAGATCAGTCACCCCCAGCTACAACCACAGAGCCTCCACTTCCATCTTCCCATGTGAAGTGCCCTCACTGCACCATTGTATTATACAAAAAGAATTTGGCATTACATATTCAAAGACGACACAGTCAACAAAATGATATCACAACCAAATCTCATCTTAAAAGCACATGTGTTGACCAAAATAATGGCGTTTATGCAGTCAGTAAAATTGCTAAGGGTTTCAGCGTACCGGTGGATGTGCTGCTGAAAACATGGGGCCAGCATGTCACAAAATGTGAGATGGAGGACTGTCGGCAGTATCACCTACTTGTTCAAAGGAGTGGCCTGTCTCATACTTTGTGTCACCATATTCGGTCTGTGGATTACTGTAGCACCACTGCCAGTGAGGGGCCACTGCAACACCAGGTTCTTTCCGAAATGGTGGAAAACAAGTTTTGTGGGGACTTCAAGGAGGACTTGTGCAAAAATAATCAAAAAGAAGCTGAGGAAGCTCATGTCCCCTTGTCAGTGTTGGTGGAACTTGGTGGTTCGCCAAGTAAAATTTGTTGTGTCCATGGTTTTCAGTTGTTTTGAATGACCTGATAATAATCTGCATGTTGCAACTGTAGCCCAATAAATGAAAGTGCTCTCCTTATTTAATTTTTGTTAAAAATTAAATCAACTAAAATTCATGTGTTTGCTGACTTTTCAATTTTTGTAGATTTAACTTGTTGGGGTCAATGTTATTCCAAACAAAACATGATTGTATTTAAAATAATTGCTGAAATATTATTATTATTATTATTATTATTATTATTATTAGTTATTTTTATAAATGTATATATTTATAATTGTTGACTGCTTCAAAGTTTGTAAATGCATTGCTAAAATAAATAACATAAAAAAGACAGACTTAAAAAAACTGACGAGGGAAAACAAACAAACAAACAAACAAAAAAAATGACTTCCGGTATGGACTTTGGGTATGTATATATGCAACTTCCGGAAGTAGGAGAAGATGGTTGGAGGAAGGGGAGCAGAATACTGCTTATTTTTTTCAACTTGAAACATTTCATGCTAAAAATAACACAATACAAAGACTAAATATTGATGGAGACATTACAGATGGCCCTTGGAAAATAGCTAAATATTGTTCAAATTTTTATACCAAATTATATGAATCAAAATATAGTGAAGAATCTGCCTGTCAATTTTTGGGGTCTTTTACAGAAACTAAGTTAATTGACACTGATTTGAAAGACTTATGTGACAAACCACTAACACTACAGAAAGCTGAATTTGCTGTTGAACACCTCAAGCCTAGTAAGTCTCCAGGCACAGACGGTATAACTTCTGAATTCTATAAAGCATTCTCCAAACAGCTTGCACCTTTCCTCCTTGGTCTTTTCTTAGAATGTATAGGCAATGAATCCCTTCCTCCCACCTTAAAGATAACTTAGGTATTTTTCAACCTGGGCCCTATTTCCCTATGTGTATGTGTGTGTATGATTCATAGGTACAACTCGTTTTAAAATTGGTTCAGTATTGAGGGAGGTGGATGCAGCTGGCAGCCGCGAGGTAGATATGGGGGCAAATGCGTCCCGTATAAGTTTGCGCAATAAAAGTGCTTTTTTTCGCCACTGACCGGGTCAGATCGTCAGTGCTATCTCTGTAGATTGCATACTGAAGCCTGATTTATGGTCCTGCGTTAAATCAATGATGTACCTACGTCGTTGCCGTGACGCCATCGTGAATCCTTCGAACTTCTCCGTCACTCCATTTCATCGCGGTGCAATTCATCGCCAGAGCAGCAGGGGGCTGCATTCCTTTCCTGAATGGTTATCATCGTCTCTAGTTGATTCTTTGTTTAGCTTCCGGCTTTTCCGGTCACAGTGAATAATGGCGATCAAGAGAGAGAGAATCTTGCCGGAGTTGGAGTTGTTGGATGTCGAAGAAAGTATGTTAATACTGCAACATCTACATCGCAACAGAAGATGTTTAAAGATGGTGGGGATGGCGCAATCTTGAAATACGGAACCGGAAATGCGTTGCTACCAAGCAAACCAATCACAGCCCTCTCGGTCTGCACTGGGTCTGCGTCTCCTCGATGTGTAGTTGCATTTTTTGGGAGGTGCACGTCAGGCTATGCCAGGGGCTACGGCAAGACTCCTGTGTAGCCACGTACCCTACGACGTAGGTACGTCGTTGATTTAACGCAGGACCATAAATCACACTTAAGCGTTTCCCTTACCCTTCACTTCCTCTGGGCTGTGTGTGACGTCATCTCGTGAGAGCTTTGCTTGTTGCCGGAAGAAAACAGAGGAGCCATGCTGAGCGCCGCTCAGAGTGGTGCTGGTTGTCCCGGAGTACAGTTGAGAGTTTTACTGCATCGATTGAAAACAATGGTTGGTGTTTGTGCTTATCCGCAGTGCAAGAACAGGATGTCGCGCAACACCCCATACAGCTTTCATAGGCTACCTTTGTCGGACGGCGAGATGCTGAAGTTGTGGCTAGTTGTGCTACAAATGGATGCTAACACTCCTGTCCAGACACTGCGCCTTGCAGACCATCGGGTCTGCAGTGCTCACTTCTCCCAAGATGACTACTGCCAGCCGAAGAAGAGAAGACATCCAATCCCGAAACACCTCTTCCTCAAGAAAACGGCTGTCCCACGAGTTGAGAGAGCTACAGACACAGTGGAGCAAAGCTCTCGCGAGATGACGTCACACAGCCCAGAGGTAAGGGAAAGGCTATTTACAGAGATAGCACTGGCGATCTGAACCGGTCAGTGGCGAAAAAAAGCACTTTTAATGCGCAAACTTATATGGGACGCATTTGCCCCTGTTACCGTTTTAGCTCGTTTCGCTCCCGGTTGCATCCGCCTCCCTCAATACTGAACCAATTTTAAAACGAGTTGTACCTATGAATCATACGCACACATACACATGGGGAAATAGGGCCCAGGTTGAAAAATACCGAAGTTATCCTTTAAGCGTGAAAGGGGGAGATTGACAAAGGGAGTGACATGCAGCAAGGTGCCACAGACTGGAGTTGAACCCGGGCTGCTGCAGCAAAACCAATATGGGACACCTGCTCTATCCACTAAATTTCACATGCCACCTCTCTCTCCTTGGCAGCTTTAGTGGTGTTGCTTGTTTTGTTTTTTTTTTTACAAAATATATGCTCATATTCATGGCATTCATGAGCACCTCCAATTCCACAGGTGTAAAATAAGTTGATCGCTTTTTCTCTCTGGTTGCCATGGTGAATTGAGGTATCGGGGCTCCACTGATGATGGCTTTTTATTGTGGTTGTGCACGCGCTTAACTCAAGGTGTACCTACTCAGAGTTGATTGAACTAATTCAAATCAGCTGTTCTGGAACCAGATACTCAGAGTTTCCCATCTCAGGGTAAGTCAACTCAGAGTTCAGGATTAGACTCTGAGTTTGTTGAACCTCCTACCTGGAATACCCCTCTGGGCCTGGTGTGCTTCATGATATAAAAGTTCACCACCTTTAAACAGCAGCCCTCACAGTGCAGCTGCTGTTCTTTTGCTTTCTCTACAGGCATTACCACACACCCATACATGCATAATGACAGTTTACAGAATTTCACGTTTATTTGGTTATTTATCATTATTTTGTAAATAAATAAACTTTTAACTCTTTGTAAACTTGTCTTGTTCCATCCTTGTTGCAACCTAAGAGCTGGGTCATAATAAGTGGAATAAAGATAAGGGATGCTCAGAAGATAATGTTCTCACTTACTGTCACACTGGCTCACAACAAGACAAGTATAGGTAGGGTTGCCACCCATCTGGTATAAAACAGGATAGTCCCGTCTCGAAAAATAAAATGTTCTGTCCCATACTGATTCAATATTGGACGCAATTTGTCCCATATTTTTGTGCACATCACATTCTACTGCATAAACTATGTTGTCACTAGCTAGATGGCAGCAGCAGTACTTATCAATCCTGTCTTACTATGGGAGCGTATCTGTGTTCCCAGGGTTCTATGTTTCCCGGGTTCTATGTTCCCCACTTAACCCTGCAAAAAAGGTTCTATGTTCCCTGCTTACACAAAAAAGGTTCTATGTTTCCCGGGTTCTATGTTGCCCACTCAACCAAGCGGGAAACATAGAACCCTTTTTGTGTAAGCGGGGAACATAGATTCTTTTTTGCAGGGTTAAGTGGGGAACATAGAACCCGGGAAACATAGAACCCTGGGAACATAGGGATGACCCCCTTACTATCCAAGGAACAAGATATTAGCAGTGCTAGCATAGATTGGACTAGGAATGAGTTTTCAAACCTGGAAATGAGTTT